CTTATGTGCCTCTGAGCATTCAAGAACCTATTTACTGGTTCAGCCACACTTGAACACTTGAGGGCTATGTGGATAATTGCATACACATAAACACTTCCCCAAGTTGAGTTATACTCCTTACGGTTGAATGTTTTTCATTGTTTGAGTTCATTATTATTTGTTCAACTAGTATATGTTACTTGTGAGTATATGATTGATTGTATACATATAGCTTTCTCCAAGTAAACACTTACAAGATTTCGGTTGAACATTTGTTTTGTTTCATTGTTGTTATGTTGAATTAAACTAATTGCTTCAAGTTTATTACTTCTAGTTTAATCATCACAACACTTAGGTTTCATTTGTCTAGCTCAATCATACTTTGTGATTGAGATAGATGAATCTGTGAAACCATAACTCACTTCATACATCAAATTACATGCAACTTGAGCTTGGTGCTCTTGAGAGGATTTGTTGCTAAGAGATAAAGAAAAGGTGCTTGCTGAGAGATTGGATTGTAGCTGCCTATAGGTGATAGATGAGCTAAGTCTTCTTTCGTTTTTCTTATATTTCTTAATTGAGCAGATTGGATCTCTCCTGGCTTGGTGCCCCCAATTTTTCACCCTGTTGGGTTTTCTGGGTCAACAATTATCGTGTGTTATTTACATTCCGTTGTTACTAGTTTTATTTTATTAACCACGAAATTGCTTGTGTTTGTGCTTGTGTGCCTTTAAAGAAGTTTAATTGTAAAAAGGGTAGCTCTTTGACCTATAGCCTACTTCAACCCCCCTCTGTAGGCTTTTAGAGCTTAGGGCCTGGTTTTACAATATGGTTGTAAACGTAGAGGAAGCGGTTGAGATGTGAAAAAAAGATGGAGCTTTAGGGCATCTCCAGCCATGGGCTATATCCCAAATATAACCCTAAAATAATGCAAAATCTATCTCCAGCCATGGGCTAAACAAAATTTTGGCTAAATTTGGAGGGCTACATTTGGCCCTTTAGGGCACTTCCAGCAGTCAAACCCTTGCCATGGCAAGGGGGGGCTAAGGCTGACACTATTCACATGAATAGTGTCTGCCATTGCAAAAAGTAAGTTACACTTCCAACAGTTGCCCGGGCAAAGGGCAAGTACTATTCAATTTTTTATTTTTTTTCACAAATTTGTTTACCCAAACAATTAATTTGGACAATATTTTCGGATAAAATTTTTGGGTTCGTACTTGTCAATATTTGAGTAAAAAGTGAATAATAGTAGAAGTATAAGAAAATGTATGAGGATTTGGTGTTGAAAGTGAAGAGTTTTGGTAGGTATTTATAGAAAAAAATTACAGAATTTTTGGATATTTTTTTTTATAAAAATTTTGATATTTTTTCATTTTTTTATTGCACAAAAATTGGCTGCCGTTGGATTGGAGGAAAAATTCTGATCGGAGAGCCCAGAATGCGACACTTGGCCGAGAGCTGTTGGCGGCACTGTAGCGGAGCACTGTAGCGTCACTGTAGCCGCTGACGTCATCCAGCCCGCAAGCTGTTGCTCGGGCCCCCTCCCCCTTCGAGCCAGCCCAGGCTCGTGGACCCCACCACTTGCCCGGGCCAGCCTTCCTTGCTGGAACCTCATTTTGGGCTCTTGCCCCCCCCAGCCCTTGCCCTAGAGGGTTGCTGGAAATGCCCTTAGCCCTCCAATCGGGCCACATGTAGCCCAGCTTTAGGAACATGCCAAATTTGTAGTGGGACCCATACATCTGCTTTTCAACAGCCATATTAAAGCACATCTGCTTTTTTTATAAAAAAAAATAAAAATAAATGTGGTCAACTTTTCAAATCTTTTCAAGTGTTGTTTAAAAAAAAATTATAAAAAAATCTTGTTCATGATCGTTTGAGCTCAAACATTGAAACCCATCTTTTTTTTTTGGGTTATTCGCAACAATGGTCCCTCAACTATATCCGTATTTACAATTTGGTCACTCAATTCAATTATTAGTTGCAGAGGTCACTCAAGTAAGTGTTTTGTTGCACCATTAGTCATTCCGTCAAGTCTGTGACTTTTTCTATTTAAAATGATGACGTGATAAGCATATCTTAGATTATTGATGGGCAAATGTGACTTTTCAGTTAGGATTATTTGTAGCAATGATCCCTCAACTATACTCGAAGTTACATTTTGGTCACTCAACTCCAAAAAATAATTACAAAGGTCACTCAATTGGGTGTTGTGTTGCACCATTAGTCCCTACCGTTAGAGAGACTTGACGGTAGGGACTAACGATGCAACATAACACCCAATTGAGTGACCTCTACAACTAATAATTGAATTGAGTGACCAAACTGTAAATACGGGTATAGTTGAGGGACCATTGCTGCGAATAACCCTTTTTTTTTATTTTAAATTTATAAATGTCTTCACGTTTTTAAATGTTTGGTGTTGTTTAAAAAAATTATAAAAAATTTGGGGTCATGATCGTTGGATGTCTCAGACCCTTGAAACCCTTCCAATTACTATTATTTTTTTTTAAATTGCCTTTGTTGGCTTTATTATTTTTATAAAAAAATTTAAAAACCTAAAATTTGTCTATAAATACCTCTTCCTCTCTCCGACTCATTTCATTCCACACTTCTTACAAATTCTATCACATATAGTTTAATTAAATAGTAGTTAATTAAATTAAACAATATATAGTTGTGGAATGTATAAGTGTTGTACCATAGTTTTTCTCAAAATAATAAAATATGAAGAATCCTAAAATATAGCCCTACATGGCTGGAGATGGAAAAATTTAGCCCTGCACTATTCTTTAAAAAATTAATATTTTGGGGAGGCTGGACTACATTTAGCCCTATGACTGGAGATGGCCTTACAATGTTTTTACATCTTCTTGAAATTAGGCCCCACATGATAGAAAGGAGTGAGGTGGTGAGGAGCTGCAAACTTTCCACATTTACGCACTAGTGACACATGAATACAGCTTAACTCGTCCAACATTTTATAGTGGCGGGTCCCTTTTCATTTGGTTGAGTGTTATAGCCGTTTGGAGTTTTGTTTTGTTTTTTTCATATACTCCCATAATCACCAATGACTAGCAATTGTTGACCCAAAAAAAAACAAACCAATGACTAGCAATTAATTCAAAGGTTCATACAATTTTTAAAATAAATATGTAACCATCAAATGGTTTAGAAAAATTATATATAACCATCAAATGGGTTAGAAAAATAGTAAATTAAACACCTACAATGTTATTTTATGAATTTTGTCAGAATTTTAAAAATGTTGGGTCGATTTGTTTGGAAAAAAATAATTAAACTTTACATAAGAAAAATTAATACAGAAAATTGAATTTACATCTTTAAATTTGCTTTTTTTCATTGAAGCAAAAATTACTTTTATACTCCAAAGATGTTTCGACAAAAAAAAAAAAAATTTACTCCGAAGATGTAAAAAGGGAGAAATTATAGAATGGTACAGTATCACCATGTCAGCGGGTGATACTTCCACTCATATATTGACATGTGTCTTTTTAACCCTCCACTAATTAAATTATTTTCCAGCTAGACATTAGGTTTCAATTTTACCCTTTTGAATAAAATTAAAACAAAAAAAGAAAGAAGACCTTGGCTGCAGTCCTATACCCCATTGCTGCCGCCCCCTCCCCTTCTTTTCCTCCATCTCTCTCTCTCTCTCTCTCTCTCTCTCTAAATCACTTTATTTAATAGTTGGCGTTTATTGGATCATCTCTTGTCAAGGCCATGCGGGATTGAGAGCAAAGTTGGATAAAGAGAACTTGGATCTGGAGTTTTTGAGGGAGATGAAGACAACCTAGATGAGGAGATTGAAGGATTGGGGAAAGGAATAAAAATAGGGAGGGAGGGCGCTGCAGAGGGGGACTGTGAACTGGACGGAGTTGGGAGGGGCGACGCGGCTGAGGGGGCTGCGAACTGGACAGAGGTGGGAGGCTCTGTGACACAGTTTTTTTTCTCTTTTAATTTTTATGAAGGGTAAAATTGGAACCCAATGTCTAGCTGAAAAAAAAGTATAAATTTTCTTTTAAAAAATACACGTGGCAAATTCTAAATGGAAGTATCACCCGCTGACGTGGCGATACCGTACCATTCTATAATTTCTCGTAAAGAGGACACGAAAATGACTTTACACCCCCTGAAAATACGCGCTGACTGGTAATGCTCTAACATCCACAAGATGAATAAGAAACGCGGGCTCCACTTTTGTTTTTGGGGAAAAAAAAACCAATTCAGCTGTCAGAAAAAGAAAATACTAGCCACAAATGTAAAATCTTTTCTCTTTTTTAAGTAAGAGTGGGGCCTAGAGTCTTGTCTTTCTTAGTAAGCAACCATGACCAGTCAAAATATCTGCTGCAGCAAATCTTATCTGTTTGCAAAACTTATTTTTTTACCGGTTGAATGGATTTTCACTTAACATTTTAATTTTTACACCAGCAATCCAACGGTCCAAATCACAGGTGGGATGTCGGCCTCAGAATCCAGATTTGTAATTTTGCTGCTGCTGCAACTGCTGCAACTGTTGCAACTACCACCATTTTCCCATTCACGGGGTCCACGAGTCTCCTTCTGTCTCCTACGTGAATTATTGAGACTTGACTCCGAGTATGTGGCTTGAGGTGTGCCACGTCGTGTCATCCCTGTGTAATAATATCCCAATAAATTTCCCAAAAAAGTCATCGACCTCCATTTTTGCTGTGTGTCTCTCTCTGTCTCACTCTGCGAAACTTGGTTCCTGGATATTTTCAGGTATGTTTGAGTTAATGGATTTTCTAAATTAGGCTCTGTTGTGTGATTTTTGGTGTTTATTATTGTTATAATATGGTGATTTTTCTTTTGCTTACTGTTTTTGGGTTGTTAGACCAAAAATGGAGGCTGAGCAAGTTGGGGAGCTTGTGTCTGTAACATTCACATGGACGATTGATCAATTCTCTAGGTTGAAATCCCAGAAGCATTACTCAGAGGGTTTTTCTGTTGGTGATTTTCAATGGTATGCTTGAGTTGAAATCCCATCATTCTTTTTCTTTGGTGTATAAATATATATATATGTATATGTTATTATCTTTGGCTTATATATCTATATACTTGGTTGTTTTGATCAGGCAGATGGTTGTGTATCCAAAGGGAAGCAGTGGAATTCCCGGAAAGCACGATTTGTCGATATATTTGAATGTTGTAAATGCTTCAGCATTGCCATCTGGGTGGAGTAGATATGCCCAGTTCACCTTGACTGTGGTGAATCAAGTTGACCGTGATAAGTCAATCACAGTAGGTAAATTATCTACTCTTCATGTTGTTTATTTCACATTTTTAATGTGTTGTTTTGCTGCTGTGAATTGAAAGTGAACTCCTTTTACATTTTAATTTTGGTTTACTCTAAAAAACTTTAGAGAAAAAGATTGGTAACTTTTACTTTCCCATACAAGAGAGATTCCTTCTGAAGAAAATAGTTTAACTTGGGAGAGTGTCTTGTTGTTCATTGTACATTTTTCTTTTCTTACTTCATCTCACCCTTCTAGGAAATACCATGTTTGGTCAATTCTCTGAAGGCAATTTTCTTTTTTCTCAATTAATTTTCCCTACAGCACTAACCATTATTTCTTTTCTTCTATTTTCTCTTACTGAAATTGAACAAAGCATTGTGTAAATTCGGTCATTTGTTTCCCAGTCTTCATCTAGTAATATCTTTCCTTCATGGACTTTTACTTGCTGATTTTAAGGTTCATTTCCTCTTTAACATTTCAATGAAAACGGTTGGCCTTGGAAAATTGTTTCGAAATAAGACTACGTATGGCAACAGAGCTTGTTGGTAATTACTGGAAAAACATAAACAAACTCCTCCATGTGCATGTGTGGGTGTTTACTTTTATTATGCTGAAAATGTGTATGAAAATGTCATCCACGATTTCCTTTTAAAGTGGAGCTGTCCAGTTTATATATATTTTCAGATGGCGTGAGACGTTAGGTGATGAGATTCTCAAATTAGATAATTTTGCAGATGAAATCATATCTACTTGTGTTGCGCAAACATACTAGACTATACTAGAAGAGAACATAGCTGTATTTATAATAGTAACTTTGGAACGAGTTTCCTTTATTATTATTATTACCTATTTGCTGTTCATTTTATTTTTCTTTTTTATGAATGTTTTGTAATCCATCTTATTTTGATTTTACAGAAACTAAACATGTGTTCAGTGAAAGTAAAAGTGATTGGGGCTTCACATCATTCATGCCTCTAAGTGAGCTTTGTGATTGTACCAGAGGGTTTCTTGTGAATGATATATGTGTTCTTGAAGCCGAGGTTGCAGTTAGTCAGGTTGACTATAAGATTTCGGAAGTCCAAGAAACTTGGTTTTGTACACCCATAGTGCCCCCAAAGCATGAAGATCAAACGCTAGGACCTTCAAATGTGGATTCTGTGCTAGTTACACAGTCTTCACAACCTCTCAGGGAACCTTGGTCTGAACAGGTGCTTAACTCTTCAATAGCACTTACGACACGAAGTTTTGATCAAGTGCTTGCTTTCCAGGATTCACCAAGTTCTGAACAAGCTTGCACTGAGCTTAATGATAGTCCTGTTGTCTCTTCCATAATCAAGGAACATGAGCAAACGCCCTCCATCCCAGTTGGCAAGCTCGTGGATTTCAAGGGTTTAGGGCAAATAGAGAAAGATTTTGTTCCATTGCTGGAGGAAGTCTGTTTGTTGCATCCTTCATTGATTGAATGCCAAAGGAAGAGAAGTCGTATGTTTAATGAATGGGCATTCACAGCTTTGGGTAGACTCCTGTATTTTCTACAGACTACAAGGGGTAAGGATATGGTTGAGGATGCCTGTAAGCACCTTCAAATTTTATGGGAGGAGCTTGAGACCTTCAGATTTGACTTGGCTTGGTTGGAGCCTCATGTTCAATCCGCCTTGGGTATGAACAAGTTTGTGGAAAGGGCACGACTGGTGAAAGAACAGAGAGACAATGTGGATGCTCTGGAGATTGAAGTCAAGAGGTTAAAAGCTAGGCTAGTTGTTGCAACGCTAGAGTTTCAGGTTGCAAAAACAGACATGGGATTGGCAGAAGAAAGCTGTGTTGAAATAAATATGGATGGTGAGCTTGGTTATGGGAGGCGTGCCTTTCTTTAGAATTCACTCTTTGATGACAAACATATGCAATATATGTTTATATATGTATTACATATGCAACTCCCATGTTAAGCATGATCCTATTTATAAACCATCATGCTGGAAAAGAACCCTCCATTGCAATTTTTGTTCTGAACTAAACCCTTCCATCTGAAGTAACACTCCCTCCCCTGCCTCCATCTGCACAGTAGCGAAATCCCTGTGCATGGTGAGGTCCAATAATCCCAAGCAACATGTCCACCGGTATGAGAATTTTTCATCTTAATTTGATGCTGTATTTTTGCTGAATTAGGTCTTTATTTTGATGATTTAAGGTCTTTAATTTCTTTGAAGATCTGATTGTGTTTAAAGCTTATTCTTTATCCTTTTGTTCTAATTGATTGTTTTTGTTTCTGTTCTTTTTCTTTTTGTGACCTGAATATATCTTGCGGCATAAGGGCGTTACAGTAGTGATGATTCAGGGTTTTAGTGTAATGCCTATTTTTAATTTTGTGTGATTGTTTTTAATTTTTTCTTTTTGGAAGACTTGCGGTTGGTGTTTTGGGTGTATTTTAGTTTTTATGTAATGTTATTATTCTGTAAAAGAGTAAATAAACTTCAAAGATCCACTAGAACATTTCTCCATCTGAAGTGGATCCTAGACAACTCATGTAGGAATTGAATCATTATTACCCAGCTCTTGTTTTTACAGTGGCACACATAAGTGTCATGTTCGTACAAATTGTGATTATGTTTAATCTTCTTCTGTTTATTATGCAGGCATCATGACAATGCATTATATGCCTGTCCAGATATGTGCAGGAATCGCTTTTCCGAACAGACTAGAATCACCTCCTTGTCTGAAATTGAAATAATTAAGGAAGAGCTTTGGAGGAGGCAACAACTGGAAATAGTTGTATCAAAATATTTATAGTGCTTACAGGGTTTTCATGTTATTAAATTTTCTGTTGTGATGGAGGGTTTTCATGGTAATAAATTTTCTGTTATGATGGAGGCTATTGTTGTTTGTTGTACAGTTCTGTTTTATTATGCATAAAACCTTGGTTTGACTGGCATTAGTGTTTTATGCATTTGATCTTGGTCGGAGTGGATGGGGTGAAAGAAGGTTTTATGTATTAGGTCAAGTGAAAGTTAGAAGTTTAATTTAGGGAGGTTTTTTGTTTAAAACTCAGTAGAAAGGTTTTTTCTTGGTCAAGTGAAAGATTTCTAATCTGTTGTCCATATCACATATGTTATTCTACGTGATCGATCTGATAGGTAAGCAAAAAACATAGGTCTCCTACCGAGTGAGTGTTGTATCAAAAGAAGTGAAGTTATTTTGAGAGTTGGATTGGTTGAGGGGCTAATGGTGTAAGAATTTGTAAATTTAGAGTAGTTTTTGTCGATTTTTTAAAAGACATGGGGCAAACAGCGATTGCAAAAACAGTCTAGGCTAGACTCTAGACCATTACTCCAAAATATGAGAAAGACTTCCACGAAATGGGATACTACTATTTTGCTATTTCTGGCTAATAACATTATGACACGCATAATAAATTTTCCATGTGGGATAACATTATTGACCGAGGATTGCAAAACATAGTTATCTTGGTTTCAACTTGTTTCCCTCTATTTGGCCAAGTAGGCCAAAGGAATGATTTTTTGGTCCTTCTCTTGAGATGCGTAGGCGTGCCACCACCAAGCCACTTAATTGCTTGGGTGGCAAGATTGTGTGAATGTGTTGCCCTTCTGACTTCCTGATCAAACGATTGATCGACTAGGATAAGTGCAATAAACGTAAATGCAAGAAACAAAATTACAATAATGTAAATGCGATAAAAATATATTAAAGCGATAAAGATTGGAATTAAACTTGAATTTAAAGACAATTGAAAGTAAATTGCAAGAAAGTAAGTTTACACTAGGAAAATGAAGAACTTGGATAATCTAAAGTGCTTGAAGGATAAAATCCTAGGCTAGGAATTAGAAAGTGCAGGATAAAAAGATAGGTTTTGTGTGTTGAGTCGGAGGTCCTTTCCTTTTCTTCTGAGAGCTATTTATAGAGCTTTCTTCAGCTCATGGGTTTGGCCATTAAATGACCTCAACTAGCTTTCATTGAAAATCCTTACAAAATTAATGCCTTCTTGAGCTCTAGGCATTTAATAAGAACTTCCCAACCACCACCAACCCATTTGGTTGGTCAATGAAATGACATTGGAATTGTGAAACTCTTCTCTTGATTTGAGCTACAATAAGTCTTTGGCAATTAATCCTTCCGTCTTTGGACTCTGCCACTTGCAAGGAGACTTTTGCTAAAACTTCCCATCCTAACATCATGGGTTGAGCCTGGACTTATGGATATTTGGTTTGACATCTGGTGGAACATCGTGACTCTTAGAGCTCTTGCCTTGCCTCGACCTAACTTGGAGTTTGGCAACCTAGACTTTGGTTTCCAACTCGACTTGGTCTTTAGTTTCCAACCTCGAGATTGCTAAAAACGGTGCAAACCAACTAATAGCCCTTGCCTCGACCTAACTTGGAGTTTGGCAACCTAGACTTTGGTTTCCAACTCGACTTGGTCTTTAGTTTCCAACCTCGAGATTGCTAAAAACGGTGCAAACCAACTAATAGCCCTTGAATAATTATTAGGTCGTAAGGCCTCACTTTTCTTCACAACATATAATATATACATATATGTATATGGAGCTTCAGTTGAGGGATTCTTCAAATAAGCTTATTTGAGGGACACGCTTGTAGGGCCCAATTCGTAATTTATTTCACTAATCCAAAACTTCTATTTTGTAGATACTCATTCAAAGATCATCTTAACAAAAAATCACTTGAATCCGATATCATTTGACCACTAAATTGAATTATTGAAATTTTAGTACTTTCTTGAAGCACTATGTTCATTGATTTTGTAGGATTGGATATTGAAACGATTTCCGATTTGTCTAATTTTTTGCAAGGATGATCTATGAATATAGACTTAAAAAATAGAGGGTTTGGATCGTTGAAATTTTTTTTGTAAGGAACCTTAAAGGGTGTCCTCAAATAAAATAATTTGAGGGTTCCCTCAATATATATATATACAAAGAGTTTCATTGAGAGCATTTCCAGCAATGCAGCCCAGGGGAGGGCTGGGGGGGGGGGG